TGGAAATCACAATTTTCGTGAAATTTTCGGGATATTTAAAAAAATCGGGAGATTATTAATAGAAATCGGGAGGGCGGGAGATGGCCTAAAAAATCGGGAGAAACCCGCGATTTTCAGGAGACTTGGGATCTCTGTGTAATATAAATGCAAGGCATTGAGTAACTATATAACATTATATTTCTTATAAGTCTGTGATCTTATAATTTAATATAATATTACATATAAAAATATTTGAAAATGGTGTTCTTGGTTTTCAAACATTCACGTCTGATTTCTTTTTATTAAAATAGTTTGATTGTATAACACATGTGGTTTACCTGTAAGTTTATTGTGAATAGGAAGGCAGTTCAGTAGATTTTCACACTCATTTAATTTCATATATTTTGTGGCATTGTCCCAATCTCTCATACTACATATAAACAGAAATTAATAAAAATGAATGATAACAGTCCTTCAGAGGATGGTAATAAGCCTACAGAAAATACTGATAGACTCTCAGTGAATGATGCAAGACTCAGTGTAAGCTAGGCTCTTCCGAATCCATGAGAGTGGAATAGATATACTCATCCATTAAAATTTATCAAGTAGGACATACGCATATTAATACTTCCATGGGATAAATAAATAACTGATTGGAAAAACTAGAATAGCAGTGAGTTGGGGTTGTGTGTTGTGACAGAAGAGGAAGGCATATGAATTGATTAGTAGCACTGGGCTATTGATTATACTGTAATCAATATTTCACTTTCCCAATCAATCTCTGTTGCATACGTCAACAAGGTTGAAACCATCCATGTGTCAATTCCTATAGATTAGCATTTTTTTCTCTCTCTCTCGGGCCATAAATTCTCTTTTCACCCGTGTCCATTTTTAAGCTTCCAGTAGAATACTTGTGTTTAGAGTATTATGTGTTTCCTAGTATTACAAATCTGAAAATGTGTTCTTGTTTTAGTTGGATATGTAAGGGCAAAGGTAATGTATTTATTTTTTAATTAAACTTAAATTACGAGAAATTGTGATTAATTATGTTGGGGTCCTATAGCAAATGAGGACAAGGCACTGTGGAGTGCATACCATTATTGTACTAGATTTTCATTAGTCTAGATTGTACCAGTTGTTTTGTTTTATAGTCAAAATAATGTTTACCATTTTTTTATTTCTCTTGTTTGTCTACCAAATTTGGAGGTCATATTTCATTGTTATGCATTTGATGTATAGTAGGCCCTATGCCTTTTTAATTTCAAAAACTAGTTTGTAATTTCTCTAGTACAGTACTGTGAAAAGATAAGATAATTTATAACTGATATATTGTATCATCATCATCATCTTTTTTGTCATTATTTTCACAATATTATCATAATTATCAACATCAGTATTATACCATCATCATGATCAGATCAACATTATTATTCTCACCATAATTTTCTTATCCTCATCACCAATTTCTATCAACCGGATTTCTTTCAAAATTTTAATCATCAAATATTATCTTCATCATAGGTATTTATTATATCTTCCTTTTCTAGCAAAAATACAGGTTTTTAAAATATATCATGCTAATAATAATATGCTATTCTTATAAAGCATATCATACCCAGCAAGCCTTCTAAGTGCTTCACATTATTACCCCGATAATTTGATCAAACACCTATGGAAATTGAACACATTTCAGCTCTCTAGAGGAGAATTCCATAAAATTGCTGCTAGTAAAATATGAGAGTGATTGGTGCTTTGGCTTTTGAGCCGAACTTTTACTCCTGGGTGGAGAGATACAACTGTGGGTAAATTGCCTTGCCCAAGAACACTAAGCAAAAGGTAGAGTATGGGTTCGAACCCCTGACCTCAATATTTGGAGCCTGAATTTCTGCCACTATACTATGATTTTACCGCTACTATAATCCATTTAAAGTCATATGCTGTTAAGGTATACTACAGTACTGTGTACACACCTGTTATTTACAATACCAGTAGTAATGTACAGTACACATAAATTATACAAACAAACATAATATAGTATCATTGGTATTTATACACAAAAGCAGTAATATGCAGAGTGTAAAATAATAATAATAATAAAATATTTATTTATTGACATTTTGAAACTTTAGAAAAGACAGATTTTTCCTGACAGAATAAAGAAAGGTCAAACAGTATGCTTCCTATCTTTACACTAATAAAACTAAACATAAGGTGCATTGTAAATTCATCGTTGTTGTTACTTAGAAGAAAGCATGGAAATATCTTCGACAGGTTTTGCAAAAGATACTGTATACCAAAAGAGCCTGGAAATTGTGCAATGAGATATTGAATCCCATGCTCTACCTGTATAGTTCATTTCCGTTTTTCACTTTCATGTTAGTAGTTTCGTTTTTCTTTTCTGCATTAATGTTTTGATGTTATTTTTTATTCTTAAATTTTATATTATTTTAAAGGGAAAGGGGTAAATGATTGCATTATTTAGGGAGGGAAGAAGGATAGTTTATATTTTGTATTGTTTCTGAAAATAAGGGGTTAGGTATACAGTAGTGCAGTTTTATTCAGTGGGGAGGGATAAAATTTGAATTATCAGGGAAGGAGGGAGGTGAGAGGGAGGAAGGTAGAGATTAATTAAAGTTGTTTTGAGTGGGGTTTAAGTTTTTGTTATTCTTGTAATTTTATGTAAGCCTGTCTTGTATTCATTTGTGTTTTGTGTTTCGGACGCAACTGATGCCACTGATATAAAAGTACAAGTCCAAATAAATATTATTATGTAAAGTATAAGTAATAAACAATAGGATCAATATTTATCAGAATAGAAATATAGCTGAATATAACAACAATGTATAATATTCATATCAATAAAATGGAAGGAAAGGAAAATTTAAATTTGTTAAATAAGAATCCGTTAAATAATGGCTTGACATTTGACAGGGAAATATGATTAGATTTGAGGTTGACTTAGTAATATGAGATAAATTGGATAGTGTTTGAAATATAATATTTCACTTGATTTGTTTATGTATCAAAATAGGTGAAGCCATGAGCAGTATTAGAATGACTTCAAGTGAATGTGTGTGATATTCTTTACCCAAAATTGGTTGATTATGTCTCAACTGTTTAGCTTGTAGATACTACCAACAAAAGTTTGCTTTTTAAAAGAGAGTAGACCATCAGTAATCAAAGTAAATTATGGAATTTTATTGAGATATCTGGGTTAAAATCACAGCAACACCACAATTAATTATTTAAAAAAAAAAAACTTTTAGTAAATGCTGTTTATTATAATGTAAAATAATAAGTTAAAACCAATTTTTTTTTTTGTAAAATAATAAGTTAAAACCATTTTTTTTTTTTTTTTTTTTTGAATTTGTAAATTTGTTATATTATTATTATGAATGGTTTGTATATTGAAGGTGATATGTCTTGGCCTGTGTGTATGAGAATTTTATAATCACCTGCCACATGCAATACAAACTGTGCTGATGCGGTACAGGTATCTGTTTATTAAGTATATTTATCCAGGTTCTGATCCAGGTCTTTCTGTAAGTGTTTTGTGTGTATCATTTATCATTCTGTATCAAATTCATCTTGCTCATTTCACTTTGTAGCTAGTAGTTATACTACGTCCTCTCTCGGTTTCAAATCAGTTCGTGTTAAATGTGTTTTGGTTTTTAAAAAAAATATTTTTCACTCTGATCTAATGTGAGCGACTCAAGATGAAATGCTCTATTAAGCCAGCCTGATTATGAGGATTGGTGTGGAGTTAATAGTTGTGTGAAAATAATATTGGTCTGACTGGATTTGAACCCAGGACCCTGGATTTGGATTTCGAGCACCTTACAACCAACCAAAATCCAAAGTTTATTGTTAATTTCTTGTTAGTTAAACATTATTACCTTAATTTTTACATTTACTCTATGTTTTGGTGCATAAATTATATCGCGCATGTTTTGCTGTTGTATACCAACAATATTACCCCTTTCCAGTCTGCCCCATTACCATTGCCTAGCTATAAAATAATTATCATGAAATCTATCCAGGGTGTACGTACGACGCCCCTCGCTATAAAGTATGGTCAAAGAGGGCATCATTGCGACACCATAAGACTTGAAAGGGTTAAATAGATTTAACATTTAAACAAATTTCTAATTGCTGAGCCTCAAATACATTCCCAAGTTTCATTCTACCTCAAAAAATGTCACTGTGATTGCACTTTTGGGTATTTTTTTAGTACTGTAATTAGTCTGAAATAGTCATTCTGCAGAAACCATGTTTCTGTTATTCAGAAATCCATGACATGAAATAGGAAGGACTGCTTTCCAATTTATGTACATTGTTAACGAAGATGCCTTTTAAACTTGTATGATATTGTAGATTAGGCCTTGGTGTATTATTAAAACACACGTACCTGAGCACGTTTACAACAGTTATGAAATATAGTAAACCTGGACAAGGATGGACTTCTACATTCCTTACATAGCCACACGTAGTAAACACTTTCATTGGGTTTATTGGGATTATAAGCTGATGTATTTTTTGTGTGTTTCATTTATTAAAAAGAGAAATGTACCAAGAAACCATGAATGAATAAAAAAAAATTCATATGATTTTTGTGTTTTAATCTCTTTTGTTTCATATAGTGTTTTATGGAAAGGTTTTATGGGATATTAGTCACTGCTATATAATTTTGTGGTTGTTTTTTGGTTTAGAAATGTTCACATCCAACAGAAAGTACACTGGCCAATTACGGAATGAAACTCTCTGATGCCCTTTAAACTAAGTCTTATAATGAGGCTTAGTAAGTGAAGCCGTTTGTCACAAATACACACATTAAATGTACAAGTCCCACGTGTACCTTACAGATGTATATGCTAAGTTCTTATTTACTGCTTGTTGAAAATATCATGAGATTGGTTCAGATATAGGGCATAGTCTTATAATTATCTTTTAACTGAATGCTAGAAAGCAGACTGTATCATGACATAAACATTTCGTTGTCCAACGATCTTGATTTCTTTCAGATTGTCCGCATCCAGCTGGAGAGTTTAGTGACGAAGACGAACCTGAGTTCTTTGATGCCGTTGACGAATCTCCGGCTGACAAATTCACAGTGTCACTTCCAAGGGCAACAGCACTGAAATCACACAGGTATTTATTATGTATTGTATAATAATAAACATGTAGTTTACAATTTATTTAAAGGACGGTTCTGAAGGAATAATATTTTGATATGTTGTACAAATGATTACAGAATTCTAAAAAACATTGAAGGGACAGTATTCTAAAAGACATTGAAGGGGACAGTATTCTAAAAGACATTGAAGGGGACAGTATTCTAAAAGACATTGAAGGAGTGTTTGAAGAAATAATTGTGAATAACTAATAAGATAGATTTTTAATGTTAAAAAACTAGTGGAGCCCTACTGTATAGCACTCATTTTCCACCAGTTTTTTTAAAATATTTATTTTTAAAAATCTGTATCTATTAATCCGTTCCTTATTTCATCATTCATCATTTTGTTGTGTTGGAATATTCATTTGTAAAAAATAGCAACAAAAAAAAACCATTTTGCTCTGGAGCTTAGCTTTAAAGATAGGTATATGACTTGTGAAATCCCCCAATCTCTCAAATATTTACTCCAATTTTCATCTAATATTAATAATAATAATATTAATAATTATAACAATAATAATAATAATAATATTGACAATGATAATAGAGACGAAAATTATAATAATGTTGTCTCTTGTTTAGGCCTATTCCAACCTTTTCAATTTTAATTACCAAATAATTTACAATAATTATTATACAGTACTGTTGATCTATTCCTGTAATGTTTTTAACTTCTTTTTTCTGCTGTTATTTCATTGTATATCGCTGTATTTTATTGTTTTTTGATGTCCCTTTTTTGTACTTTTTAACAATTTATGAATGAATTTTAAACTGTAAATCACAAGCAATTCAGTCTTGTTACTGCCATTTGTGATCTGAATAAATTGAAATAAAAAAAAAAAAAATTGAACATGTATATGCACACCACAACTCACAATGTACAGTAGTTGTAGCTGTGTTAGTGTGAACCAATATTGATAACAGCTAATGATGATGCAGCACTCACAATGTACAGTAGTTGTAGCTGTGTTAGTGTGAACCAATATTGATAACAGCTAATGATGATGCAGCACTCACAATGTACAGTAATTGTAGCTGTGTTAGTCTGAACCAATATTGATAACAGCTAATGATTAGGCAGCACTCACAATAAAATTGAAATTTTATAAATTGTTTTTGATTTTCTAGAAATTAATTATACTTTTTGAGAATTTTGGTATTTACTATGGCAAAATTTAGATTGCATTACCCTGACAAACATACATAGAAATTGCTCTAGCAATATAATTTTATTGATTTTTTTTGTTGTTGATAAAGTGACATTTTTTTTTTTTCACCAAGCAGAAAAGCATCTTGCCAATTGCAAGATGCAATGCTCAATGAACTAAGTCTTAATATGAAGCTTAGAGAATGAAGTTGATTTGTGAGAAACAACCTATTATACTCTGAGATTGGAAGGCAAACAAATTATCACCAAGCCACAGATCTACTTTAATCATATGCATTTTTTTTTCTGTGTAATTATTGTTGTAATTTGTGATATGTGGGAATTTGCACCTGAAATTTGTTTTTGTGAACGTTTTTTTTTTTTTAATTCGTACAGACGTCAAGGTAGTGAACACAGCTGCAACAGTATAGGGGGAGAGGCTCGCATCAACGACGAGTACAGCAGTGATGAAGACAAGATGCCCGAAAGAGATGAAGCTCGAGTCATCTCGATCAAAGGGAACTTAGATAAAAGGGGAGAGGTAAGAATTTTTGTTTGTTTTACAATGCATCAGTTTTGCTACAATTTTTTAACATACTCTATCATAGTACCCAATCAAAATATTAATATGGTACTGTAACTCTATGTAAATCTAACATTCTTCCGTCTTCCTTAGGAGTATTCAGTTCAGTGTAAAGACCATTAAATCCCACATCAAAAACGTTCATATCCTACAAAGTTCTCATTAAAACTATTGGGTGCATACCTATGCACAGGTTTCAATGATTCCCCTCAACATTTTCCTAGCTAATTGCCTCTATTCAAAATCATCAAATGAATGGTTTAGCTCCAGGAACCTACGGTGCCTCCATTAGGCACCTTTAGACCATTGGTTCTCATATAAAACCCCCTTTGAAGAAATCCTCCTAAAGGCATGAAAGATACCAATTGTTTTATTTTACTTACAATATGCAGTGGCAGATTTAGGAGTTAGAAGATAGTGGGGGCCCAGGGTAGGACTTTCAGGGATGGGGTTCTATACCACCTTTCTCCAGTTTTTTTATAAATTTGGAAAATTAGGGGGTCTGGACCAACTGCCTTTCTCCCAACTGAATTCACCACTGATGTAGCCAGACTAAAGTTGTTACCTGCACCATTAATACTATACAATCATTGTTTAACTCCTTACACACAGGACTCAGCACTGATTTCAGGGACAGGACCTGTTGTCAGGAAGGGTAGACAGAGGCGATCAACAATTCCAGAGAGACCCAACCATAGTCTCAACCTCTGGAGTATCATGAAAAATTGCATCGGCAAGGAATTATCCAAGATACCAATGCCGGTAAGTAGACTTGTTTACTGTAAAGAGAATGATATAAAATTTGTTACACACCTTGTTTTTCAACAATAAAAACAAGAAGGTTTTCCAGCTAAAGGGTGCAACTTTACTTTTTTTTATGAGATGTTTTGGGTGTTTGTCTCCTAAGCCTCGAGTTCCTGTAAAAATTTTTGAACATTTATTGAAAATATAAGTAGTGGGTTCAATTGGCATGTGGTGTGCCAAAAGTAACCTCCTACCTGGAATATCTTCAGTATGCTTATGAAGTGTTGTTTGTCTCTATTGATTAAAACATTTCTTTCTTAATTTCAGGTGAATTTCAATGAACCTCTTTCAATGTTACAAAGGTTTGTAGAAGACTTAGAGTATGCCGATATCTTAGATAGAGCTGCTGAGTGTAAAACGACAGCCGAAGAGTTAGCGCACATCGCTGCGTATACAACATCAATGTATGCTGCAACGTCGTACCGTACATCCAAGCCATTTAACCCCCTGCTGGGAGAGACATACGAGTGTGATCGAACCAGTGACCTTGGATGGAAAGCATTCACAGAACAAGTAAGCCATCCTGCCATTCCATATGCTGTACAGATTATTTCTGTGAAAGGAATTAACTCTTTCACACACTTCACACCTTAGGCCCATAACCAGATGGATTTCTATGGTTTGGCCCAACCTCTTTTCAAGTGAAGCCCATTGATAAACCGACCTAGCCTTTCTCCCTTTGCTTCAAAACCATCAAATAATTAATAATTACATCACTTACTACATGCAAGATTGCTATAGTTCTAGGGGATTTCACCACCTTCCCACCCACCAACCAGCTTTTGTTCTTGACCAACCAGGCCACTTAGGTGCCTCTAAAACTCAGGTTCTCATAGAAAACACAATCCTGGTGTTATTGAAAAATGCTCATACCAATGGAATCCTCTCAATTGACATCAAAATTCAGAAGACCAAATGCAGAATTATACATAAGATTGTTGTTCTCTTAGAATCAACAAACAATGTTTGAAGAGACTCGGGTCTGATGAAGTAGAGCTGTGTTTGATTTTCAACTGATATTGAAAGATACAGAATTTGTTTTATTAGATATGTCTGAAAATAATAATAAAAATAATATCAATAATAATGATATACAGCACATATTGTTGAGAGTCTTTACAATCAAACATCAAATCTGACCAAACATTTATGAGTTATACAGACAGAAACCTGATAGTGTGCCTGCAATACATAGACAAAGAAATTAAACCATGCATGCATTTACATAATAAAGCTAATGTCTTCACTACAGTAAGTGACTCCATATCGAAGCATAGCATATAGGCAATAGCCATTTCCAGTAACTTACTCTAAATAGACATAAATAGCCAATTTATTTCAATATAACAATGATCACATGATATCTGCAGGATTTTACAGATTTTTCATTCCCTATTCCAGAGTATTCTTACCAATAAATTTTAATTAATGTACGGCAGTAATATTGGTGCTGACCATCACCAATGGCCCCATTATGAGAGTTATATATCTGTCTACCTACAAATTATCTGTCTTATTACAAAGCCATCATTGCAAGTAGGTCTTACAGAAACCAATTAACAAGAGAATGTCTAATTGAACGAGGTAAACAAAGATATAATATGGACATGTAATTATACTTGTACAATATAAGTGATCTGAAGAAATTAAGAAGACCGTACCTGAGAAACTGAAGAGTAGAAGCCTGTTATAAACAGTAGTAAAACAGAAGAATATAACATCAAAAGGGATGGAGATGAATCTTGGAGGTGCAAATATTTAGCATCTCTATTTGATTCAGAAGTGGATATAAAATGCCACAAATAACTTGCTCTTGTAGCTTTCAATCAACATAAAGAAACACTAACAAGAAATAAATCTCCAGCTTTAAAACTAAGACTATGTATTACATACGTCAGATGCATTATTTATGTGCGATTCAGAAATATGGACACTCACCATAAAACAAGAAGAACTGATTAATAGTTTACATAGGAAAGTGTTAAGGAAAATTCTTAAAATATTAAAGTTACCCTACACAATCATAAATACACATAGTATATTGCGTGCACATATACAGTAGGTAGAATTATAAGTTTTTTCTTCATTTCCGTCACACACTCAAACAACATTAGAGCAGCCAATTCTAGGATACTAAGTGTACATATATGATTTAGTATTGATTATGGTGATTGTGTTCACTTTGTATTGAATTCAAATAATTGAGGACATAAAATAATGAGCAATGGTAGCAATTGGCAAAGTTAACTCAAACTATAAATCTCCATCTCCACGAGGTGCCATTAATGAGAATGACAGAAGATGACATCTGGTCAATGAACTCTCAACAAATTAAATTTTTAAATGAGGATAATTGGTTATTGCTAGGTTATCGATACCTCCATGGTTATGGTAGTGGTTGGATTTAATGTGAATCAAAAATTTCTCACTATCAAAAACAACTCCATTCCCTTGGCCTCAATAAGAGACTTGGTTGATAATGTTCCAATCTGTACAGCAAGTGACGATTGTACTTGCTTTTGGGTATGAAGGAAATTTTTAAATATATAGTTTCTCTTTATAAGTAATTATTATGTAATAATGAGTATACAGTACAATAAAACATTTAAATTTAGCTGAAGTAATGTAGTGTTTTAATTGCCATTTTATTGTGTATTCCTGAATACTAAGCAAGAGATTCATACTGTTGCTAATTTTGGCCATTTGAACTAATTTACTCACACTCGACCCTGTCTACTTAAGCAACCCTTCACATCATATAAGCACCATTAATATCTGTATTCAAAGCACTCGTAACACCCGTCATCTTGCATGTATTACTGAATTAAATCTCAGATTCAGATTTTATTTATTGCTGTAAAAGGAGCTGTATGATATTTTGTAACCTGGAAGAAAGCACAAACATTGCGTAATAGAATGATACAAAATTTTAATACTGAATAATGCTGATACTAAATATAATTGGTCTTTGAATAATTTCATTAGGTTTTTAATGTAGGTATTAATTGTGGAACAAAACATAGCAGTACGTATACTTTTACTTGGTTTTAAATAAGGAATTCTAAAATAAATATAATTCGTGCTACGCATATAAAATATATTAATTTTATTGTTATTAATATTAATATATATATATATATATTGTTATTCATCATATATTGCTATTAATATTATTGTTGATATTATTATAGTTATTTTTGATGATGTTATTGTTATTTGTTTTTACTCTTCCTTTAGTTGATAAAAGTAATTTATCATATCTGAATTATCCTTTTTTTTTAGTGATAAACACAATTTTGTTTTGTTCCACAGGTAAGCCATCACCCCCCAGCTGCTGCTATGCATGCTGAAGGCAAAGAATGGGAACTGTGGACTGACATAACCATCTCTAGTAAATTCCGGGGCAAGTATCTTCAGATATTCCCCCAGGGTGTTACTCATCTAAAGTTCAAGTCCTCTGGCAGTCATTATACATGGCGGAAAGTACCTCTCACTGTGCATAACATTATCGTTGGCAAGCTCTGGGTTGATAATGTAAGTTGCATTCATCTTCTTCAGTCTTATTAACTGCAGTCCCACATCATTTGATCTCATTTTTTGTGAGCCCCTATTTTTAAAATATCTCTTATCAAGTTATACATAATTTTCTCCTTTTACCCATTCTCGATCTCCATTACCAACTCGTTACATTTTGTTTTTGTCCCAATATTATAAAAGAATAAAAAATGCATTTCTGAGCATCCTCGTGTTGTCTGCTTTGTCTGTCTTGTCTCCTGTTGTCCTGTCCTGTCCTGTTCTGTTTTGGCTTTGGTTTTTCTGTGTGTTTATTTCAGGGCAGCCCTAAACAAGTTCCGCTTTCTGGGTTTCGCCCCTCAAACTTGGCTAGTTATTTATTATTTGCATTATTATTACTTTTGAGAAATAAATGTTCTTTTAAACTTGAACTTAAAAGTTCTGCTTTGCTTTAATATTATGTTTTCTCCACTTTTTTTAAGTATATCTCGGGCATTAAAGGCCCTGAAGTGACCTATTTTCTGTACATTTGTGTTATGTTTAATTACTATGCTTGTTGAAAATTTTACATCCTGTACTCTTTGCTGTGATGGGTTGAAATATTAAACTTTAGAACTGTCACTTCAAAATAAATTGAATTAATTAATGTATAATGAATTAATATAATTTAAACCAAACATATTGATATTGTTTGAACTAAATTAATTCATTGTATTACAATAATACATATATAATCCAATTGAACTATTCTAACAGGCTTATGGCTAGCCATACAGCATTACTAACTAAAGTAGCTATGTCTGGGATTTAAACTGGTTACATATACATGAACAATGATCCTATTCTAACAAGCTTATAAAATATAAAAATTTGAAGAGACTAGCTATACAGCATTACTAAGCTACAGGAGATATAATTGTGATTTAAACTGGCTACATATACATGAACAAATGGACCAGGATCTATTCTAACAGGCTTATTAAAATTTTCTCATACAGCATTAATAAAGGAGCTGTGTCTGGGATAACTGAAAGTCTCTGTTGAGTTTAGTAAAATTTGCTAGAATGCCTATTAGCAACACACAATTATCTGCCCAGTCAGGCTGCATGAAAATTTATACATTTAAGTATGAACATGGCGGTTCACTACAGCCCATGCGACTTTAAATTTCTCCATTAGTTGCAGTTCATTTCGTAATTCATAATTTGATTTCTTTCCATAACAGTCTGGTAGGCAGCAACAGAAGCAATTCCTTGTTCAACATATCTACCACTTCACGCATGACTACAAATTAAATTTCTTCCTTTTCCCAGAACTAATGTTTTATGACTTTTTTTTATAAACCAATACAGTATATCATAGTCTTTCTATTTTCATTTTTATTGCTTCCCTTGTTTAATATGAAATTTTTCCTCATTTTGTTACCAAGGCCGGAGATTGCGAAATTGTAAATCACACGACAAAAGAAGTATGCCGGATGACGTTTAAGGCATATAGTTATTTCTCCAGAGATATTCCAAGAAAGGTAAGATCAATTATGGTGCTTAGTTTCTTTAAAAGAACATTTATTTTTTTTCCTTCTATTTTTACATAGTTCATGCGTGAACTAGAATCCATAATGAATAATTTTCTACAACAAATTGACTAAAATCTCATTCAACTAAGATTATTATCTCTGTTTTAATATACCATGTCTCTATTCATTGATAATACTACATTTATAGTTGACATGGTAATTTCATTTGGAGAGAATGCTATGAATATTTTTAACATGGAGTAACATTAAGCTAAATGACGCTATACATTTAATGTTAACTATTTCATTGCTTCAAGAGGCACTACAAATGGAGAAGTGGTATAATTAGATTTAGTTTTTAAAATTATGCATTTTACTGTTTTATACACATGAATTATAGTCATTATTTGAACTACACTTTTTTAATGAGATGCTTTAGACTGATTATTTGAGTAATTATAATGAAATTTAAGTGTAATTGTGTATTGTATACATCTTTCTTGTGCTGTGAATTTCAGTAATATTAGCTAACTTACAATTTAAGAAACTCTTTACATTGCTTGGGAAAATCCATCTCTAAACAAACATTGTCACAATATTATCACTTTTATACATACTCATTTTTTTGACATCATATTATTTTCATACCATTCAGAATATATGAGACATTGTAGACATAAGTGTGAACATGTGTGTACTTGTAGGTAACTGGCGTTGTAACGGACAGCCACGGTACCGCTAAGTATGTGCTGTCGGGAACGTGGGACAAGAAGATGGAGTGTGCTCAAGTAGTTAATATCACTGTTGATAAGTCAAGTAAAGATAAGCCAGTCTACCAGACAGGCCCTGCTAAGTTACTATGGGCTAGGAGACCATTAGCGTGAGTGTACAATTCCTTTTTAGATTTCCTGCTTGTTGTGCTGAACACCCCGGTTGAACCCTGCCAGCATTGGGTTTTAATTAGAGTCTGATCGCTTGGCTCCTGGAATAACCCTCATTTTGAGAGTTAAGCTAAGTCATGTGATGCTGCATTGCGCCTGCCGTTGGTTCCAGGGAGCCCAGCCCAAATTTCTGATTTCCAATTAGAATAAGGACCAATACAGAATTGTTATTATTGTTATTATTATTACAAATCGTACATTTTTCACCAGTACCTATCTATAATACTTCTTTGCATACAGCTTTTCCTCCATTGTTGTTTGCTTGTTGAAGTCCTGTCAGCTTCAGGTCTATGAACTCTTCTCAAGTCTCAATTGAATCCGCAAAATTTTTCTGTTTAATGTTTTTTTTCTGTTGAATGAGTTTATTGTTTTTGTTTTTGTTTTTTTTTGACAGACCTGGTTTAGAAAAGATATATTACTTTGGAGATCTAACAATGACTTTAAATGAAATGGAGGAAGGGGTAGCACCAACCGATAGTAGGTTACGTCCTGATCAACGATTGATGGAACAGGGACAATGGGACGATGCAAATAAAGAAAAACTGAGGCTAGAAGAAAAACAAAGAGCTTCCAGGCGTAGGAGAGAGGAGGATGCTAAACAACATGCAGAGGAAGGTAAGTAATCAAAATTTACAATAAATTTGTTTTTATTTCTCTGCAGCTGGTTAAATATTTTTTTTTTTAATAATCCAGACTGGAGAGGGCATTTGCAACTTGTAACTTGAGAATTTCTGATTGTGAAGGTGGTTGGTAAGCAACCTTCTAGTGCTATTGTTCTTTACCACTTGACCATGACAATTGCTATGCTTTGCACCTGTTCCTGTATTCATTATGTTCAAGTGGTCAGTAGGATTATATTTTACAGAGCATAGAAAGACATAGTTCATGGAATGAACTTTCCATCTACATTCGGGAGTCTTCCTTACTCTCTGTTTCCAAGCAGAGCCTTAAATCACACCTTCCTTTCTTTTTAATTTGTCTCTGTTTCTGTTAATTTTTCACTTTTGTTGCTAGGAAAGCCTAGGCCAGATGGCAACACTATTTCAAGCACCTGTGAGTTACGTACCTGCTAACCACTGCTTGTCGGTGGTCTCAAATTGCAGGTGAACGGTGCGATAGTGTTGGTTCCTTCTGCGTTGTCTGTTTCGGTTGTTTATTTTAGCTTGGTTAGCTTAGGTGACCTACTAGAATAGATTTTTTGTTTTCTGTACAGTGCATAGAGACCATGTATTATGCGCTATATAAGTCTCCAACCATTACCATAATATGGATATAATTTCTATTATTCTTTTTACTATTGTTCTTGCTATTATTACAATAATAGTAAAAGCATCAAAATAATATCAATATTATTTTATATATAATATTATTTTCCTGATCATTCATTACTAGTATTACTGTACAATTGTTTTGTGTATTTATATGTGATAACTATGCCTTTATTCATAAATTTAATTTAAATCTTTCATTCATTTCCAGGAAAAGTTTATGAAGCATACAAACCAAAGTGGTTCCATCGAGAAATGGATGCATTTAGCAAGACTGTTTCTTATAAATTCACAAATGAGTATTGGCAGAGTAAGAAAAAGCATGATTGGTCAAGATGTGCAGATATATTTTAATCTGGCCAATCACAAAATTTGTACCAAAATGTTGAAGCAGGTCCACAATACAAGATATAACTTGATACCATTGAAAAGATGCGAGTTTTCAAAATCATGTTATTAACGTGCTAAATCATAAGCGTGATAAATTGGTGGCTTCAGGCTGGGATAACCAAAGATTTCCAGCCAGTATCTTGCTGTCAAGTTTGGATGAATACTATTTTAATTAGGTAAATTAAACCGTGTTGCGATTAAATGCAATATAGGTTAAGGCTGTCATGACTTATAAGGAGTATCTTTGTTTCTAAACTTCTGTTACATAACGTCATATAAAAGGTTGAACTGCCCCCCCCCCTGTTGTTGATGAATAATTGATATGTGGTTGCATGAAGTACTCAGTTAATCTATACATGGACACAATTATAAGCATTATACATTTTTTTTAGTTTGTGTCATATTTATCTTTTTCAACTCTACTTTTAACAGTAAATTGTTATCAGGAGACTAATACACATATTATCAATGCAGAGACTGTATTTAAAAAAACAATCAGATTTATGAGGCTCTATGTATGTTTTAAACTAAGATATTGGTTATATAAATTCAGAATACAGTACAGTAGAGACTAAACAGATTTTAGTCAGGATGCTTTTGTTTGTGAATGTGATTAATATTCCTAGTAAAATTATGGTTCTAGTTTATAAGCAGGAGATTTTAATGAGCTCCAGGCCCAGTGAAGGAGTAAAGGGTCTACCAAGAGGGGAAAGCGTTTTATTTGTTACTGAGATTGACAGGCCCACATGAAGGAGAATGAGTGTCCGGGTTCCACATCTTCATGAAAAATGTTTAAAGCAAATAAGGGGCCATTTTTAAAACTTAAGTGATTTTGACCAAAAATTATGCAAATATGCAAGAAAAAGTACCAATAACGTATAGGAGTTTTGGTGCCATGTTGTGGTTACCCGGAGTCTCGTCTCACGGTGGTGGCTCTGTTAAGTGCCATGCCTTAAGATTTAGTTAGTTCAGTCCTATTGAGTGCAATTTTTTTGTTTACATAGTTATATAAACTGAAGATACACCAAAGTATAAAGGCAGGTTGTTGTGAATGCAACAATGCTTTTTCCAAGCACCTTCCATATGATACTGGGTGATGATGATGATGCATTGATGTTTTGTAAGAACGTTCTAATATGAATATCTTTGTGTAATATCAAAGTTGAATTTTTCTTCTGAATGTTATGTACATAAAATAATATTATGAGTAGTGAATCCAGATGTGGAGGCTCCTTACTGTTAAGCACCACCCACCCCCTTTTTTTCTGATTACCCCCTTTTTTTCTGATTTCCCCCTTGAAAGCAGTTCAATAAATTCATAGATTTTTGAGAGAATTTTAGCTTTAAGGTCCATTATACTTGCATTTTTAGAAGTCAAGAAAATATATTGTATACAAAATAAGGTTGAAATGTACTTTAATTACATAGAATAGTATTTAGTGAGGCAAGAAATTATTAAAACGATAGACTTGGGAAAATTAGGAGGTACAAATTCATTAAAAGATGCCCCTAGGTAAAGTACAATCATTTCAGTTATATTATTTTATTACTGCCTCATCAGTAGTCTACACTTCATTAATTCCTGATAAATTACTTAATATTGATAAATATGTTAGGAGATATTTTTCTGATAAGTTTCCACTATCTTTTATGAATGTAAAATATTAATCTGGTCTGGATCTGAAATATTTAAGCAACATTACTGCTTCATGTTAAGTATTCTGTTATGACAGATATAGCAATTTGTTTGGAAACAATCTGAAAGAATTCCGTAAGATTCTGAAATTAAAAGCAAAAAGAAGGCATGGTGAAGATGTCGGTGAACACAATGGGTGAATAAAAATGTAGGGTGTTACCAGTTGAAACTTTGGTTTTCTGTTCGAGTGTTTTTCTTTAAGTCTTTAATGGTAATTTAATTTATTGATGATGATGACACTGATGATGATGGTGATATTGAAAATAGTGTGTGAATAAATACAGTATAATACTGTAATAATATATAGTAATATACAGTATAATAAGGTAGCAGTGACATTTCCAGGAATTCAAAAAAGGAGCCTATGAAGGTAGTTTTACAGATGGAGGGTCCAGGCTACCTGAGCCCCACCATGGTAGCAATTGAGGCTTAAATTTGAATGTAATCTCGTTTTTTTTTCCACATTAAAAAAAGTTTCAAATATTCATGGGGACTGGGCCATTAGTCCCTCTGCCCTTGAATCTGCCTATGGTAGAGATTTGTAAAGCACCTTTTTGAAAGACCAGTCATTATTAACTACTGTACTAGCAGGCTACCATCCTCCATAAATCAAATAATCACCAATGTTATAAACATACACAAAATCACATACAAAATATTAGCATTTTGATATTGCTTTTATTTCATAAAAACAAAATCTTTTCTTGCAGCTTCTAGAGAATTGCTTTAGCCGATAATCTTTCAATTATTATTATTTTTCCTTAGTTTGTCATGGCAACTATTTTGGCTATAGTCATGTTCCAAATGCATGATCAACATTTAATCAAGGATCAAAGTTTCTACAAATATAATTGAAACCAAATTTTCTCATTTAGACAGATGCCACCCACTCCTGTACTTGTATACCCTTGCACATAAGAAAAATAACAAACAAAAATAAAAAGCAAAGCATAACATAGACACACAACTGGAATTAAAACTCCTGAAACACTAAATTGAAATTTGAGTTACTTATACTTATATAATTATAGAATTATATATATTTGTATATATAGCTCCATGTTTCTAGCTCATTGCATTTTTTAAAAATCATAGTTTTATAACAAACTCGTAAGTATAAACTACATCTTATTTAAATTGCTACTGAGAAAATACAGCATTTTATAATTATTGTTATCTCTAATATAAACTGCACAACAGATGGTCCACATTTAAATATTAGATTCCACGACACCGCTCAAGTATCAGTAGTTGTATGTGTAGTTAAGATGATGATGCTTCCTCATCCACTGAGGTTGCCTCTTGTTCCACACCATCATGGAGTACTTCTGATTCCCCTTCACCTGATGTCGCATGACCCCCACTATCCTGTGATGTTTCTGGACGGTCATTGTTTTTAACAGGAGATTTGCCGAGGTCACGCTCAAACAAGATCATTAGTTCACAATGCGGAGTGTGAGGGAAGAGGTCAACAGGAACTGCTTTCACGGGTCGGAATGGAACTCCTTTACTTTTAATCGATATACGCCTGCACAAGCTGAAAATAAAATCACAATAAATAATTATAACTAACAAACATTTGGTACTTAGTTTTGATTTATTTGGTGTAAATACAAAAGACTAAAAAAAGTAAACATATTATTTCCTGTGGGATCTTTCTAGTGGTAATTGGGCAGTAAACTGGAAGACAATCCCCTACTGCGTTCATATGCACATGCACATGGGCCATCTCTCATCCGAAAGACGGTACATTATTCAAACACACGGAGGGCAGCTTTGGGAATTGAACCAGTGTCCAAGAGATTTCCATGGTTCAGCGCACACACAGTGGCTACCACCTGATTAGCGACAGAGCTAATGCTCTCTGAGCTTAGTTTAATGAGCATCTTCCAACCTGTAATTAGTGAGTGTACTAAATGAAATAAATAAAATTATACAGTACATACTCGACAAAGTTTCCGATAGCGATGTTTGCATTGCAGGACACGTAAATAAGCTTTTCCAAATAGGCACATCTTCTGATTGCCTCAATTACTTTCTTATCTGCATGAAAAAAAAAAACAATATTTAATATTTATATTTACAGTTAGTTACAACTAACATTTTGACTAAAACACCCAAATTACTATTGAAATTCCAATCAAATAACTTTTTTAAGTTGCATCCCAGAATCCCTTAAAGGGGTTTTCTAGATTAGCCAAGTCTAACCTAGGCACCCTGGTTGAACCCTCTAGGGCTGAAACATTCTATTCCTTCTACTTATAAATTTATCTTCATTTTCAATGTATATTTATGTAATTTATGGATCTTATATTGACCACAATGAAACCAATGCCATCACATTAACAAGCCACTCAGAATTTGAAATAAATAACTTATTATGTCACAATATTGAATGTTGTGGAATTTATGTATTTGATAGCATCATTAAAAAATGTGTAACTTACGTAAACCTGGCCTTGGAGGATCAACTATAGCAATGATATCCCTACAATGATCTAAACCATTTGTAAGTTTTGGCATCACATCTTCAGCTTTACCACAATGGAATTCAATGTTGTCAATACCTGAAACATAAAAAACAAATTCTAAATATAATATCAAAGGTTATACTGTATATGGTTTGCATACATATTCAAACAAAGATTTCAGTGTAGTTTACTTCTTTAATATATTTACAACAGTTTACAGATGTATATTTTAAGTTAGTCATATGACTCTGTTGCTCACCGTTCAGCTTGGCATTCTCTCTTGCATCATGGGTAGCTTGTTCATTCATCTCAACACCAATTACTCTATGAACATTCTAAAAACAAAATAAAAAACACTGACTAACAGACTAATTTTTATAAGCATGTAATACATGTCTTTGATGAATTAGTTGATTGAATTTTCAATCAATCAACGCACTACCTGTCTATATATATATATATATATTATTATACAGAATTATAAAACAAATGAATCAAACCTTAGCTATGGATATTCCAATGGTTCCTGTACCGCAGCACACATCCAAAACTGTTGTTTGCTTAGTTGCACCACACCAATCTGCAATTGTCTTATAAAGAACTTCAGCTGCTTTGGTGTTTACTAAAACCATAAAAAAAACAAAAAACATAAACCGTTAAAATTCAAAATCATTTGCTCAGTTACATGCAATACACTATCACTGAACATTCTAAAAGCATTTTTTATTAAAGATACAGGCAATGTTTTATTTAACTAGTGGGAATATATATTTTATTTGCGTAGCGCATACTACCTAGTCGCTATGTGCTAGTTTTTCTGTTTATTATATTTATAAATTTTATTATTACTAGAGGGTGAGCTCACTTCACTAGCCTATCCTCTAGTACTGTGAGTAAAATGTCATGATTAGTTTTGATAAAAGAGAACCACTGAAAGAAAATTGGCCTAATTACAGACTAATTATTGTAGGAGCGTGTGGCACAGCATCTGATTGTGAGATGAGGAGTTCGAGACAGATGCTCGTCGCATTGCTTGTGTCCTTGGACAAGGCACTTTACTTACGTTTGCCTCTCTCCACCCAGGAGTATAAATAGGTACCTGGTAGAATGGTATGGCATTGAATGTATGGGTCGTGCATGTTCAAGCAGCAATGGCCAGGGATACTGGCCAGGGATACTTTCCAGGGAGCAGAAAAAGTTGCACAATGTGCAGTTCTGCCAATTCAGTATCATAAATACACGTACTAAGGAAATCTATCATTAGGCCTAGACCCTTACGTAAATACATCTTTGGTTAAATTATTGTGAAAACCAAGAAACGTGATCCATAAATATTCATCCCTGTCAGGTATATTTTTCAAATTCCACAGCTGGTGGAGCAGAATTTCCATGCATCTATCTCAAATTACACCGTTCTATATTGCAGTCTTCCATTATAGTGAGTCACACCACACGGTGGCACAAACCTAAATGCATGATTGGGAATATCCTCCAGACAGTTATCTATTGAGTATCTATGATCGTGTGAAATATTATGACACTGCAAAACAACTGATGACACAAGAGCATGTGATCGCAAGACAGCTACTCTGGTGAAAAACAACTGTAAAAGTCATTCTTTTTTCCCTCAATTAAGCTGAAATTTGGAATTACTGTATATACACTTCATGAGATGGAGACAGATGATCTATGCTGTTACAGTTTTTCAGACCGGTAGATTTCGAATCCCAGATGTTATCTGAGGTCCTGGGTTTTTCGTATTGATTGTAGGCTTTAGAAATAAGCATAATTATAATATAGATTAATGAATCTTTCATACACAAAAGTGTAACCTCTTCAACTAGCAGATAATTAATAGTTTCACAATTTAATTAAAAACCATTCATATCACATGCGGTATCCGTTCATACCCTTGGGTGCAGAGAGACAGATTTCCTGTATCATAACACATGTCATGATGACTAACCTTGAAAGAATGCTTCCGGTGAAATGCGAAACTGTAATCCCATCATGTGCTCGTAAATACACTTCTCTCCCCATAAATGCTCCAAGGGCAAACTGTGTATAGCAACAATAAACATTCAGCAATTTAAGTTATATAATGAATCATGATAATATATCTTTGCTTGCACACCATAAACAATACAAATCCATGGTAAATACCAATAATAAATAAGTAAATCCAAATATAGCTCTAACAAAACTTTGTACTATATATTATGAGAAATGATGAGACTAATATGTTTGAATAAGAAAAACAGATAAATTTGAAAGTCTCAAATTTTCATTCATTTGGGAAATGACTACCTAAAAAAGCATCTTTTTACTACTTAATTTGTCTTTTTATTTATTACATTTTGTGAGTAATAGCGCTCTGAGAAATTATTATAGGGCACTATATTAATAACCTATATATTATTATTATTATTAAAGAATAGCAAACATTTCTCTCTCTTTGTGTAGCTGAATATACAGTGATGTCACACAGCATGACTTCCCGTCTCCTTCCACAAAGAAATCCCTTAAGTCTCTCTTCTGCTTTGAAATCGCATCCTGTAAGAGAACAAGTTCTCGTAATCTCAAAAGCTCAGATGAAGGCAGTATAATAGAGGCAGCAGATCTAAAAAACATCTATTAATCAATCAGTCTAATGAGGGCAGTATAATAGAGGCAGTAGATCTAAAAAACATCTATTAATCAATCAGTCTAATGAGGGCGGTATAATAGAGGCAGTAGAGCTAAAAAAGATTAATCAATCAGCTGAGTGTTTCTAGAGCTCCTCATCAGAGCTAAAAATGTTGTTTCTTTCAATGGAATCCCTGCTAGAAGCGTATTTCTTCTAAGGTGATCCCGCTATTTCCATTGTATATGATCACAACGACCTTACCTCTGATAGTTTCTGTTGATGTACATGAGCGATGACCATGATCTGGTTCTCAAGCGTTGTCCTGACTACCAGCAATTGCCAATAGCCCCGGTGAGTCTGCGGTTGGTAGCTAACTAGACCAGTTGTCCTAATATGCTCCTGGAAAGCGGCAGCTACCTTCTTCATACTGCTTGGAACGTTAGAGCAACACGTTGGCTCCAAAACATCTACAGTTCCACCTAAGATGTAAAGTTCAAAAAAGATTTTAATATTAATTATTTAAATATATAACTAGATTTCTAAATTTCGTATTTTACTGAACCACGTGTATTGGAAGAGTACTGTACTTTAATACTAAATATGTAATGACTGAATCAATCTATCTGTCCATTGTTATCTATATTTTAATTACTGTATCTGATTGAATAATCCCTGTTCTCACATTTAAAAAGATGTATTGAGGAATTACAGTACCTTTATATCTGCCAAGTCTAAAGCCTACTGTGTTGTCCTGTTGTTCAGTACTTCTTCCAACGCTAAACTCACATTTATTGCGATATTCGTTAATTGCCGCCTGTAATTAATAAAAATAAAGCTCAGACTACTGCTGGTTGATACAGTCTTTAAACCGGAGAGACCCTGCATGTCATACATGACCTACATACCAGATTCCCTACAATACTTTACAGCCAAATAACCATGATAAAGATGACGATGATGGAGTTGAAGACGATGATGATGAAGGGAATGATGATGATAACGTTGATGATGAAAGTGTAGCATAAGATTTTTTCAAACCAGTAAACACTAAAAATACACTTACAGCTGGTATGATGGACTGAAGTTCACAACATAAATTATTATGTTTCAATCTGAAATGGTAAGGAACAAAATTTCCATCAGTTTACGTAACAGTTGACAAAATATTTTGCCTATGATATCTAAGCAGAGAGTATGTTAGTTGTCTGGCTTTCTCCAACCAGGAGTTCACCGCCCATGAGTACCAACAAAGAGTATAAAACTGCAAGAGGTCCGACTGCCCTTATTTTGTATACAGGCAATGGAACATTAAAAAAGTACTCCCACGAAGGGGCGTGTCCTTCATTTAGAACGTAAAAGGCATTCGTATGGAACGCGTGCTGCGTTTTGAATTCCAGCATACATTCTAGACACGCAGCACGCTTTCGATATAAACGCACTTTACGTTCTTTTAAGGGCCACGCCCCTTTTGGGTAGTACTTTTTGAAATAGGATTGCGTTCCAAAGAATCCCTGGCAGTCGGACATCTTGCAGTTTTATACTCTTTGGTACCAAGGACTAGTAGGATTCCAAAGTTATATACTGAATATTTAGTCTAATTAACCTACAAAATATTCATGATTGACTCCTCAGGGAGCTTAGGATGTTGTACATTAAATGACTGTTACTGATTCTTATGACCACGACAAAATTTCAAAGCAATTTTTGACATGTTTAGATTTGGAAAGTCCTACATTTGGAAGCAGTTCAGCACAGAGGAACAGTTCAGTTCCCAACCTCAAGGGCAGATGTTTCAATTACTTGTTAAGCTATGTATTCTTATTATTTTGGGACCAGACACCCATAGCATGCCAGCTCCAGTGATGTGAGGATTGCAGTATAGGACTAACCTTTGTGTTTTAAGCCACGGCTTGACCTCTGGTATTTGCCTTTCATAGGTTTTTCCGAGGGTGATTATGAATTGTTTCATACTCTCCTCTTTCAACTTTAACTGCTCCTCATAAGGTTTGTTCCAATAAGGAATCACTGCATTACATAATCTGATGATGAACAATTCAAATGAATCATCTTCATTAACACCATTAAGGTACCAATACAAATGACCACCACTACCATGTCCACCATTGTTGTCATTGTCATCATCAATATTATCTTCATCCATCATGATCAACGTTATCGTCCTCATTATCATTATTATGTTATACATTTATTTATTTCTATATTCTTTAGCTAAGACATTTGTTCAATAGGATATGTACTGTTCTCCAACAGAGCCACCTATTATTGTACAACAAAATCTTTGACTGTATGATATAAACATATTACAGTACAACAAATACTACAACAAAATCTCTAACTAAATAATATAAACATATTACAACAAACAATATCAGGATAAAAAGTAAAATCACAATTTTAAAAAATGCTGAAAAGTTTACAAATTAAACAAGTTAGAATTTTCGAAAATTGTATTAAATTTAAAGAAATTAGATAAAACAGTAAAAAATGAATAAAAATCGGTAATAAGATTAAAAGAATTGCTGGCCTCGTAAATAACCCTCCTCCTAAAAATTGAGTGACATTTTCTCATCATTATCATCATTGTGTTACCTTTCTTGAGGTGTAAGTGCACCCTCTTGCTTGCTTCTCTTAGCTGCTCCTTGTTCATTATCACTTCTCTCTTGTTTCCTCTTTGCCGCCATTGGATCTGCTTTAGGCTTAGCAGGCTAAAGATAATTTTTTACAATTAACATCATACTTTCTATGTGCTAGATGCTTCCTCGTTTACTCAACACATTTATTCTACAACATTTATTTTAGTTTTCACAATGTTTTTATTCAGTTTATAAAAAATTGCAGTGATGCAGTAAGTATAAAGTAAGTTGCCTTATTACTATTTATATTATTTGTTTTAAATATTGTCTTTATAAACACACCGTCATTATGCTATGCGTGATTTGTGCCGCTGATAGAAAGGCATATTTTTTCCAAATAAAGTAAAAAACATACCTTTGCTTTCAATATCTGGTTCTTCCATTTGTGACCATTCAAAACCCTCAAAGCTTCTTGACGATCCTCTTCACACCTTAAACATATAATTAAATAATGACAAAAATTTAAATAATGAAATTTTATATACAAAATAATAACATGATAGCAATTGAGGATACATACATGAATGTGACAAACGCGTATGTCCCTCGATTAACAGCTTTCACCTTCTTTGGTTTAAGGTTCAAGTTGATGATCATCTTTTTTAGTTGCTATGGAAACAGACAATGAAGAGACATTAGAATGTTAAATTATTTCTTTTTTAATAATGATTATAATTATTCATTAAAAATTAGAATAACTTGTCTAATAGAAATACAGTTGATAACTGGTCTAATAGAAATACAATAGTGGGAAAGGGTATGATGATTATTTAACTACAAAATATTTGAAACTGCATTTACTTTAAAGCCAAAATGTCTTGGAAGATTTTGAATCTCAATCTTATAAATTTCTGAAGTGAAATGTTGTCCTTGAGTATAATCATAAACATTTTGATCACATGACCCTTTGCTGGTTCCTTCCGCAACGTCTGTGCTGTCTGTTACCCCATCTTTCTCGTCAAGATCACCTGTATTATCAAGAACACCACCTGTATCTTCAGTGACACCTGTATTATCTGCCATCTCATCTGGTTCATCAACATTCATGTCAGTAGCTTGATCCTCTTCCAATGATGAACTATCCTCTACATTTTGTACAGTATCACTGTTGCTTGACTCAGTTACTTCCATACTGATGATCAATATTTTTTAGAAAGGCTAAAATGAAAATAAATTTAAATACACAAATTAGATTTACTGTAGTCAGTTAAGACCTTTGAAGTGCAGCATATATAGTACAGTATTATGTAATATAGCTTTCCTGGATGTAAGCAATCCACTGAATCTCTACAAATGGACTCCCAAGTTCAAACAATTTATACTGCAATATAATATTAATAATTCTGGATTTATATAGCGCCTCACGTTGTCACAACCTTGAGGCACTTTTATTTTATATTTATAATATTTTAGAGTTACATAGAAATCACCAAAATGATTACACAATGTGCTGAAATAATGATGTAATTTTAGACCAAACGTAGCAGCTGTCATTATCTCAGGTTTACAGAACATGTGGAGACCTAAAATAGATGTGGAATTTCCCAGAGTTATTTTTTTTTTTTTTAACTCATTTATAAAGGTGACCCTTCCTTTTTAGTGTATCCTAGAAGGTCGGCTGATATTCAGGGGCACTTAAATACATTGAATGTGATGCTTGGATAATTTATGGCAGGAGTAGAATATTTTCTAGTAGAAAGAAGATGGGCAATTATTTTCCCCATGGGTAGAGAACATCTATCCAGTAGTGGGGAACTTGACAGCAAGGGAGGGGAAGCTCCAGCAGGGGTGAGGAAAATTCTAAATGGATAATTCCCAATCCCATGTTTGGATATTCTGCTGTTATCATATGCCAGACTAGGTCTAGCCTAGGCCCTATCCTAGCATAGGGGCCTATAGCTTGCAGAGCCTAGCTATGGAATTTGGTAAACAACCTAGGCCTAAAAAAAGGCAAAGCTATGCCTAGGGGCCTAGTAGTAGTAGGCCTAGGTGGAAATATTTACATTTTAATCTAAACAATATATATGTTTCAAAGTAACACTGACTTTTAGATACATATTAAAATATATACTGAAATAAACTACCAAAATAGCTGAGCAGATGGGCTGAATTTTGCACTGTATCTTCCGACGAAACCCATGGACGACGAGGAAACAACTTGTGTTGCTAAACTACTCGAGCATGAAGACAGCACGTGGTTTGGTTGCTCTGGGTCAAGTGATTTGTTTACTGCTGAAAAAATTGAAGACACACCGACAGCGGCAAACCTCAGATTTTGTACCTTTGCGTTGCCTGCAAAATTTCGTACGTGATATTTTTTTTCATCATGTCCCATCTGGGTCTTCGAAATTTTGCATGGTTGGGGCTAAGGTAAGAAAATTTGTGATTATGGCACCCTCTAGATGGCGGGAAAATGACACTTCCAGACATAAAATTTGAATATAATTATCTTTATATCTCCATTTTTTATTGAACGATATTAGGGGATAGGGGCGGGCCGGCTGGGTCCCCTTGAATCCGCCACTGGGTACTTCAGCAGATGGAGAATCTATACCGCCTCAATCCCACCATGGTTGGGGTAAGAACATTGTTTGTGATTATGGTACCCGCTAGATGTCTGGAATTTACACTCTGACTTAAAATTTGAATATGTTCCTTATATCTCCATAAAAAAAATAAAAAAATTGAACAATTGAGCATCCTCCCTCCATTGAACGCGCCACAGATTTCTGAACAAAGTCGAAGTCGAGATTGCTTCCACGACCTCAATGGATTATTTATCATGAGGGTTATCCTTGATATGCCGGGTTCCCCGACGAAAACTTCACTTTTGCCCGGAAATGATACTCCAATAGTGGCGGGTCCAGGAAGTCGAAATAGAGGGGTTCCAGGGAGGGTCTTGCGCAAATAGAATGTCAATCCGCCTCAGCCCCACAACTGTTGGGGCTGAGGTAAGAAAAAATTATGATTAGGCCTATGCCACCTCTAGATGGCCGGAAATGGCACAGTCTCGGATTAAAAATTGAATACAATTTTGTGTTTTTATTTTTTTTAATTTAATTTTGAAAAAAATAGGAGGATGGGGTCCCGTGCTGACTGGGTTCCCCATTGAATCTGCCACTGTTTAACACTTGACATAGCCTATCATTTTGTTTCATAAATGATTAATTTAGCGTCAAGCGAAAGATTTTTTATTCGAAAGATTTTTTTTACTCAATAGTTTTTACAACCTATAACACATTAAGTGTACTGTAAATTCTGTAGTTAACCTTCAGAGAACTTTATTTTAGAAAATGGCCTAATTGAATATCTTGTTTTCGTTAAATTAGATGGAGTTTAAATATGGTTATAATTACGCTAGTTTTAAGGTTTACTATAAGCCAATCAGTTACACTTACTATTGATCTTCGTGGTTAGCATAAAGAGAACTAGAACGTCGCTCCATTAAGAGTGTCTACCACCCCCCCCCCCCCATATGCCTAAATACAGTCACGAATGCAGGCGATTTTTTCTTCATGCTCGAGGGTGGGTTTACGTTTCAAGGAAACTTTACAGACGCACGTATACAGACGTCAATCAACATTTAAGTTGCTCAACTCTAAAAGGTAAATTGTAATGTTCGTTAGAAAATGAAAAAAAAAAAAATCTATATTATATAATAATAATAGGTCAATTTACAAGGCGCAAACAAACAAGGTGTAAGCACCAAATAATAAAAAAAAATAATAATAATAGGCCTAATAATAATACTAATATTAATAATACTAATACTACTACTACTACTACTAATAATAATAATAATAATGGCATTGCAGCGTTCGTAAAATGTTTGTCACACTGGTGTTGGGAACAGTCACAAAAGTGGAGGGGGGGGGGGCAGGCCACCCAGTAAAAGAAGTGGGGGGAAATGGCCCCCCGCTTCCACCACGTACGTACATGGTAATTATCACGTATGTACGTGATAATAAACGTAATAGTACGTACGTATTACTATCACGTACGTACGTATTATTAATACGTACGTACGTATTACTATTACGTACGTACATGGTAATTATCACGTACGTACGTGATAATAATAGGTACGTACGTGATAATTTTTTTTTTTCATCATGTCTTCTCTGGGTCTTTGTACAAAATACTTAATGCTACCGGGACTTGTTCATTTCAAAATCTGGATGTAAATGTTTTACAAAATTATCTTTTCATTGTTCATTGTTTTGTTATATGTAATGGTTTGAATTATGCTCAAATAAATTTGAATTGAATTGATAATACAGTATTATTAAAATTTACAGTACTGTAGTATTGGCCTATTTTTACTGATTTCAGGTTTGTAAAGCTACCACCTGAGGATTTCAAAAGTAGAAGAGCGGTGGAAGTAAAGTAAAAATGTAAAGTTATTCTTTGTATTTTAGTTCAGTGGTTTATTACTATGTGTAGACAGACTTCATGTAATTATGACTAGTTTCTGCAGTATACTTTTAATAATAGGAGAGTCCCCTCATCACCATCTTCATATACAAATTTTATTACATCACTAGTCATAGATGTGTTATCCATCATAACATCATACCTGTACTTATATTGGGCCTATTATCAGATCAACATCTTATTAGTCTATACTGTGTGTAAGCCTAATCATCAACCAATTATTTTTTATTATTATCATCATCCTCATTATTACTATAATTACAGGTATTACTTTTATATTTTATTATTGTTTTTTGATATCATCATTATATTAGATATGAAATATTTGTACTGCATTAACAATAATTTCTGTTTATAAGCTTTCAAAGTACAGTTGTATACAGTATTTATAGAAACAAATTATGTCAACAAAATACAAAATACACTTTGAAAAAAGCATATATAGTATTAATTCATTACATTTTAATACCCATAAACAATAGATTTATTCCAATACATTTTCTATAAACATTAGCAAAATATGAATTAATTAAAGCAGCAGTAAAACAATGGCTAATCAGAACTACAGGATTCTTCATCCTTTTAAATGATAAATAATTTTATGATTTCCATTTCTGGATGTAAAATGAACCTTGTGCCCGCTTCTTTCAAAGCAAGCTCAGGTCGAAACAAAACTGCAAGGAACTCAACTTGACTCATGTCATTTCCTTTCACTTGAGCATATCAACGCGTTGAGTTCTGTGTCCATCTCAACCTGCCTTTATGCAATGGCAAATTAATCTCAAAACCTGAACCAATCCAGCCAGTATCTATAATTACACATGTATAAGTAAAATATGTTTAGAAAAGCTTATTAAACTAGACTTTCAGTAAAGAACATCTCAACTTGGTACTCCTGAGCAAATTGCAATTTTATGCGTTAAGATAAATTCATTAAACTGGACTTCTCAGAAGGAGCTTCTCTCAACTTGGTACTCCTGAGCAAAATGCAATTATATGCGTTAAGAAAAGCTCATTTAACTAGACTTCGCAGAAGGAGCTTCTCTCAACTTGGTACTCCTGTGCAAAATGCAGTTTTATGCGTTAAGAAAAGCTCATTTAACTAGACTTCGCAGAAGGAGCTTCTCTCAAATTGGTACTCCTGTGCAAAATGCAGTTTTATGCGTTAAGACCACAAGGCACTTTATAAAGCAAGTAATAGACTTTAATTGTGATCGCGGACTCATTGAGCCTGATCGTATACAAACATGTGTATAAAGCCATATAATCTTTGGCAAAATTTGTCATCATTCGCACTGATGATGAGAATCGTTTTCTCGAAACATGTTTGCTACACGATCGGGCTCAATGAGTCCGCGATCACGATTAAAGTCTATTACTTGCTTTATAAAGTGCCTTGTGGTGTTTTTACTAATACAAAATTTTGGTGGCATTATTTATGACATCATACATATACAGTGTCTTGTGGATCACAGATCCTCTAGACACTTTAAATTAAGCCCAACATATCATATACAGTATATAATTATTCATGGTGCCTTGGGAATCATAGAACCCTTCTCTTGGTGCTTCATATTTAGCCCTTACTATGGTGAAATACGCCAGACACCAACCGAACTACTGTAAGTTGTGAACTGGTACCATAAACATAATTAGCATAAAGTACCATTCACACTATACTTTTTTATGTTACACATACCTGTACCTGATTTGCCCATATATAGGTGTAAAATGACATCATTATGCCCATATATGAGGTGGTATTACACCATCATGCTCATATTTTTTTTTTATCTTGAATTAAAGGACTCAGCTTATGTAACATCCCTCTTGTAACATCTAAGAAAACTGTAACATATCGGTGAAATTTAAGTTCTTCCCAAGCCCGGACTTTAAATAATTTACTGACAGAGCTCAAACAGCTTCTAGTGTAAACAGAACATGAGGTTTACATTACTTGTCAGTAAGATATTGCTGAAAGTTTACTGTTGATCAAATTATGGATATTTTTGCATTTGTAGCTGGTGGGTAGATCCATATAACATGGATGTTCACCCCCTTCCCAACCCATGCACACACATAAATACACTCCAGCCCAACCACCCACACACAGACCTGAATCAAACCTGAAAGTAACTGTTGTACCTTCTCATAATTTTACATACTTTCTATAAAACAGTACTGTTATGTGGAATAAAGTGATAAACTGAATGATATTTGATCAAAATGGATTTTTACACTATAAATATTTCAAGAAATAATTGCCTTATCCCTATCCTTCAACACTAGATGTTCTGTAATATGTATGACATTTCAACATATTAAATATTTCGTAATATGTACACATATTAAATGTGCCTAAATGTTATTCTGAATGTGTCTAGTTTTAAAGAAAGTGTGCTCCAGAGACAAGAATCTTAAAGTCAGGTTCCGGAGGAAAAAATTTTTTTGATATGTTGTAGAACTGATTTTTCTAAGACAGAAAAAAGTTGTTCGACCAAAAACTGGGGAACGGTGAATGAGATACAGATTTTTTAATATTTAAAAACTGGGGGAATAAGGTGTAAAAATGGGCAGTTACG